TAAACGCAAAAGTCTGGGGTAGAATTAATCAGATAGGAAAGTTTCTGATTGCTTTTTTGCGAGATTTTGTCCTTCTATTCCATGACGCACTAAATAAATCTCATTCGGAAGAACCAGGAGATTTGATACAAGGGTCTTCGAATCCGAAGATCCGGGTAGCACAGTGCAGCAGCGTGTAGTGTAGTGATGACTCTACGGGTTAAAATTGTTATCTCGAAAGATATTTTCCTCACATTCTCCAGGCAAATCCTAGGATAGTACCAAACATTAAGCCTTATCAGCTTCCTGTCAACTTATTATTCAATAGTTATCGTACACCACGTCGCGGCGAAGTTAAAAATTCCTTCTGTTACTAAGAAACGAATCCGGGGCATCTAGGTAGTGTCCACGTTGCCCTGTGCCAGCTCGTGTGTATGGTTTTTAGACAATTTTCGTTTCTGTCCCCTAAATAAATACAGTCTCTTTTTGATTATTGTTTTGTGTTTTTTTGTCAGTAGATTTCGTCGACTGTCTAACGTGGTTTCTTGTATGGACATACTTGAACCGATCAAATTTACTATTAGTTTAGGTTACGTAGTGTTAGTAACTGAGGTAATGTGCCAGGTTATCAAAGACTGTATCACAAAGGTGTTTTAGTTATTGTGATGATTTATTAATTGATTTTTGGCTGTTTAAAGATTCTTAGGAGTACGTCTATCTTCCATGTTACATGTATTCTTCGAATTTCTTGAATAAAGGAATCTGATTCAGGCGAAATAATGAGTGTTAGATCAGGTCGATGGGATAAATCTTCATGACATAGTCACGGTATAGTAACGTCGAAGCAGCCATTACTGAAAGTTCGGTAGAAATAGAGAAGTGGCCAGAACTAGTGTTCCTCAAAGGATGGTTTGCTAGCATATTGGTGTCCTCTTGTCTGCGTATTCAGCGGGTAATTTTATCGTAAGTGTTTTGTGGTTGTGTTAAAATTTAAGATTACTGTCTTCTGGGATCTTGCGCCGTATAGTCTGATAGAAGTTTTCCGACGTTTCAGAGGTGCTTACTGGTCCCATAATCAGGCGTCGCCCTGCGTTTATAGCGCACGTTATATATTTTTTTTAATTTTATAATTATCATTTTTTCATATACTTTTAATTATTTACAATTATTCGTTAGTGTTTAACTACATGTTTCGACCAAAAACGGCCATTATCAGGTTCACTAAAATTGCACATATTTGATACAAATAATTAAATTTGTCGTTGATAAACTGGTGGATAAAGTATAAATTCTTTCGATACTGCATATCTACACACCTACACACATGCGTGCTACAGGTCTGACCAACCGACGTTTTATTAGCATTTCACCATTTTGAATGCCCCGAGTAATTTCCCCGGTCGCTTCCGCGCGCCTGTATGGTCTTTGTAACTCGCACTAAGTGCCTGATTTCGACAAAAAATTAAAATTTGTCGAACAGAACTAGTCGAAATTCACGCAGGTTGAGATTTCAAGACTTCAGATACGTTAACGTGCAATAATTTTGAATGAAATCGGCGCGATTTTCAACTTTTAATCAGAAACAAACAGAAAATTTTCGCAAAAGACACACCACGATTGTGATCTGAAAGATATAAATCTAGTTTCGATGCCAGGAACGAGTAGGAGCTATTTCTCTCCTCCAAGCGCATCCATGGCGTGTAGAGGGACAGATTTATATGTAAAGCATTGCGATCAGCAAGTGTAATTTTAAGGCCCGCTGATAAACGTAAAACTTCTATAAGAATAGAAACGGAAACCAGCGGATGGCTTATATCTGCTGTTGGTTAGGGATTTCTGTGCTGGAAAGATCTTGTGTTGTAATCAGACTTGGGGCAAGGATAACAGGTTCATGTAACCCTGTAAAAGAAGGCGTAGATATCATAGACGTTCAAGGTAAATCCGACATTTATGGAGCGTAGCTGTGTAACGATAGAACGGGCTGTATTCTGCGTCATGATGGCATGTAATTTTTCTCCCATGCTATAATTTAGCTCGTTACTACGGCGATGCATGACTTTTCAAAAGTATCGGGAAAAAAACACTAGTCAGGAGGAGGGGGGAGGCGGGATTTTCTTGTTACAAGAAAGTGGCTATTTTAATAAGTTCTCTACAGCAAAGGCGCAGATTTCATCTTTCGCAATGAACAATCACAAGTCGTGGGCGTGCGACAAAGGTTAATCTATCAAAAATTGCCAGAAATATGGTCCAGTGAGTTACGTCGAAAGCCAGCACGCATGCAAGTAACGTATTTGTAGTCGAGGCTTGGTTAACTTCGTTGCTTGGTTGCAGATCTATGTTGATCTCAAACACCGCCAATCTGCGTTCTTCAATTAGTGTCAGAGACCAGATATTTCTCGCCCATACGAGACAAGTAAAATTGTGGTTTTTGCACGTTTTTATATTTGCGTTATGACAAACCAGACGGGAAGATCAGAGATTTATAATTTCATGATAAGATGGCACACGCCACGGTGGTCTAGTGGTTAGAACGCTGGCCTTGTAATCCTGGGGGTCTCGGGTTCGATTCCCGGCGGTGCCCGAATTTATAACTTGTGTTGGGCAAGGCCGTGGTCTAGGCAACACGGAGTTTTCCTCCG